CTCAAAATGAATTTCTGTCTTTCTTGAAATATTTTTTTCCCTTCTTGCTGGTTAATTCTTAGGCAGTTTTTCTTTTTGTAATTATCTTTAGTTTTCCTAATTTTTTTTTTTTTTTTTTTTTTGAGATAGGGTCTCACTGTCACCCTGGCTGTAGTGCAATGGTATGATCAGGGTTCACTGCAGCCTCAACCTCCTGTGCCCAAGGGATCCTCCCACCTCAGCCCCGATGAGTAGTTGGAACTACAGGCTTGTGCCACCACGCACGGCTCATTTTTTGTATTTTTAGTAGTGCTGGGGTTTCACCATGTTGCCCAGGCTGGTCTTGAATTCCTGGACTCAAGGTGATCTACCTGCCTTGGCCTCCCAAAGCGCTGGGATTACAGGCGTAAGCCACCTTGCGTGGCCTATTTTTCCTAAATATTCTTTTAATTTTTCTGACTGCAATGTAATCTGATATTTGGATTGTTAGTGCTTAGATAGTATTCAAATCAGGTATATTAGGTGTCTGTGCTGTGTCATTATTTAAATATGTTTCCTTAGTAAGCTGTCTAATCATAAAAATTACACATTTAAGAAATTTGCTGATATAATTTGGGTCTACCTCTATTTACAATTGATGTAATTTAGGTAACTGTTCAGTACAGTTTTTTCCTGAACCTAATAACTTAGTTATTTTTAAAAAACACTTAATAAAATACTTTATATGAGACAGATTCTTATCAGAACATTAATTAGAAGCATATTGGCTTATAGCCATATAAATATATATTAGTATATTAGTTTATAGCTATATAAATATATAATTTTCTTTAGTGAAAGAAAATTAAAAATTATGATAATCTATAGGTTGGTTTACTACATGTTATTAGATTTTTGTATAATAGACATAAACATTTAGACACATAGCAGATTGTAAATGCCTGTAATACCAATAACTATACTGTAGTACACTATTTTATGTTGGGAAATTGAGGATCTGTGGCTTTTGGTTTCCAATGGGGGGGTTCCTGGAACCCATCCATCATGGAAACTGGGAGACAACCATATTTATGAGTGACAAAATATACCATTGTGACCTCTGTAACTACTTGGATTTCTGCATCATTGATTCCTCTTATTTTTTTCACTTCCTTCTTTATGTCTTCTCCCAACCTTTTCCTCCCTTTCTTCATTGAATTTCACTGATTCACTTCATCTCTTTAATTGCATGTGTTTGGCATAATAATTGTAATGAAAACATATTTTTGCCAGATCTAATCTGGCCTATGGTAGTAAAAATATAGGTACTATATATTTTTTGAAGGGGTGTTAATTTGATAATGAGATTTAGTTCTGAAAAAGTGATCATTACAGTTAGTGTAAATCGTACTTTTTTGTCAATGGAATTTCTGCTAAGAGTATTTATACTAGAATTTCTTTTCTTTTTTCTTTTTCTTTCCTTCCTTCCTTTTCCTTTTCCTTTTCCTTTCTTATCTTTCTTTTCTTTTCTTTTTTTATTTTTGACAGGGTCTCACTCTATCACCCTGGTTGGAGTGCAGTGGCATGATCACAGCTCACTGCAACCTCAAACTCCTGGGCTCGATTGATCCTCCCACTTCAGCCTCTGAAGTAGCTAGGACTACAGGCGCACACCACCACACATGGCTAACTTTCCCATTTTTTGTGGAGAGGAAGTCTGGCTGTGTTGGCCAGGCTGGTCTTGAACTCCAGGCCTCAAGCAATCCTCCCACCTTGGCCTCCCAAAGTGCTGGGATTACAGGCATGAGCCACTATGCCCAGCCTACTAGAATGTCTTAGTCTGGGATCCTTGGATAGGTTTTATTGTTTTGTTTGCTGGGGTGTGGTATCATAGCATCCAAAATATATTGAAATCAAAAACTTTAAGAAGTACTATAATTTAGACAAAGTATTCTATCCAACACAGACTCTCTTGCATCTCTTGACCCTTGATCCTTTTTAAAATTTAACCCACATACTTTTGCCACCTCCCCCTTAGGATTCTTCTTATCTCTATTTTAGGTCTTTCATCCATGTTCTCAGAAATTATCTTTCTTAAGCTTCATGAGCCTACTTTTTCTTTTATTCAGAGATTGCCTGTGTAAAATATGTTTTCTTAATACTTTGTATTGTGAAGAATTCTCAATACAAAGCGGTGAACATTACATTATATTTAACTTTCTGATATAAAACTTGCTGTGTGTAAAACAAGCACTCAAAATGTATTTGTTAATAATGACTTAAAAGTCAGTTACCACTCAGTAACTTACTTAACTGATCTGAACAGAAATACTATTCTGTTGTACTCTTTGAATGTTTTACTCAAAAAGGTATATTGAATTTAGGAAGCTTTTAGGCTGAATTGTACATTTAGAGAAACTTAACTATGCCACATTAATAAATAGCAAATCTATGGTACTATTTTGAGTTTTCTACAAATCTATGGTAGTGTTTTGAGTTTAGGTGAACTCTGTCTGTTTAAGAGATAGTTTACTTAATTTTAAAAACATGATACATTGCTGTTTTGATATTTAGTGGGATATTGATTCTTGGATATGTAATCTATAGGTCATTATATTTAACAAGTAATCATACTGTTAATTAGATAAGGATGGGCGAGTCACATGATACAAGGAGAATCATTGCAGAGTCAGAGTCATTGTTATAGTTTAGAATCAGGACATAATACTACATGACTGAGTGAATATGGCGGAAAGCACAGGAGTAATTTAAAGATAATGCAAAGAACTGATTACCAGAAGAGGCACACCCAAGCAAGTTCCAACGTCCAGTATTCCAAAACTTCAATATTACCAAAATAAATTTCATCAGTTAATTAGCAAGTATTTCTTGCTCAGATTTTTGTTATGCAGAGGGATACATGGAAAATAAAAAGCGTAATTCCTGATATTTTGGAATTTACAGTCTAGTTGGAAAGAGCATAGTAACATGAAGGAAACAATGAGGAACTACAGAAAGACCAAATATCATCCAATAATAAATTCTCTGATCCAAACTATCAGTGCCTTAAAAGTTAAGGTTAAACTTACATTCTGTGGTGTTTGTCCCTTCCTATATTTTAGGATTTTAAAAGTATAGTTAATAAGTAGAATAAAGGACATCATAGCAGTTCTGACTTTATCCCAATTTACATATTATGGTACTTTGCATGTTACACTTTCTATTTTAGTGAATATAAAAAGAGGTGCATTTCTTTAAGTATAAAGATTTTATTGAAATACATTTGAATTCATAAAAAGCCATTATTTTTTCTTTCTTATAAAAATGGAAGTAATCACTAAGATCAACTTGTAGACTGTTACTTAATGTCACTATCTGCATATTCTGTAATAAATATATTGTCGTATTTTTATGGTGTATTATTTTAATAAATCCTCAAAGACATTTGAGGGAAATTGTAAAAGAAAAAAGTTGTGGTCTATATTTTTTCTATTGTATGCATATATTATATGCATATATTATACCACTATAATGACTATATTTTTTAAAAATTTGACTCTTTTCACATTGTAAATATTTTTTGTACAGCTTAAATTTGCCACATTCACTGCTTAGAAAATGTTTTTTAAGTTAGTATTCCATTTTTTAGGTAACTCCCTCACTCTTGTTGGTCATTTCTAGTTTCTTGCTGTAATAGTGCTGTAATAAATGTCTTGTACATACAGCGATTTTTTTTTCTTTTGGATTATATCCCAGGAAAGAATTCCCAGGGGTGGGAGTTACTGGGTCAAAAAACATGACTTACATATGTTTATTTACATATAATTATGTAATTTATAAGCTGTCTTTTAAAGAAGTATTGGAATAGCTTTGACCACCTACCCAGTTTCATTGTGAATCCAGAGGTGTACAGTTTTACCCAAATTTTGAAGAAGCTCATATGCTTGAAAAATAATATAATCACAGTTTTACTCTACTCATTAAAAATTACTTCCAATGTAAATTTCTTATAATTTTCAATGACCAGTGTAACTTATATTTTAATTTTTTCAGAGTACATGTGATGCAGAAAAGTCTTATGAAGTGTTACTGAGCTTTGTGATAAGTGAACTATCTAAAGGAAAGTTATACCATGAAGAAGGAACTCAGGAGTGTGCAATGGTATGCTTTTGCTAAAATCAGATGTAGTGGTTATTTAGTAAAAAATTTACATTTTCTTGCCATTATGAAAGTAATTTTTGAAAACTCTTATTTATTGTAGACTGACTTGTTCTAATTTTCTTTTTTAACTTTAGGTTAACCCTATTGCTTGGTCTCCTGAATCCATGGAAAAGTACTTACAGGACTTCTGCTTACCTTTTCTCAGAATCACCAGCCTTCTTCAGCACCATCTTTTTGGGGAAGATTTACCTAGCTGCCAGGTAGATAATTTGGGATATGTAGGAGGGAGCTTTTTTTGTTTTATTTTAGACGGAGTCTCTCTCTGTTACCCAGGCTGGAGTGCAGTGGCACAATCTCGGTTTACTGCAACCTCTGCCTCCCAGGTTCATGCGATCCTCCTCCCTCAGCCCCCCTAGTAGCTGGGATTACAGGCACACACCACCATGCCCAGCTAATTTTTGTATTTGTAGTAGAGACAGGGTTTTCACCATGTTGGCCAGGCTGATCTCAAGACTCCTGACCTCAGGTGATCCACCTGCCTTGGCCTTCCAAAGTGCTAGAATTACAGGTGTGAGCCACTGCATCAGCCAAGCCTTGTTTTTATAGTAAGCTATTTTGTTTTAAATATACTGATATGTAGTGTAGTACATATGTAACTCATATGACTATATGTTAGTCTAGATTAAAGGAATAAATATTTAGGATATGTACTATTTTTGTTGTATTTGTTAACATCCACCCATTTTTATGATAATATTACTAATGTTGGATATTTGAGCAGCTTTGGATTAGATCAATGATGATACATTCCCAGTACCTGATGAATAGGATCATAGGATTCAGTGTTATTGACATTTGTATCCCTAACATCATCTGCTTTTAATATTCTTTTAAAAGTTATGTTGGTCGGAAAACTGGTTGTTTGAAGATATGATGGCATTTATAGCAGTATTCAGTTTGTAACCAGTTGTATTAAAATGGGTGAATGAATTATCACTGGTTTAATCTATTTCATAAAACTGTGGATTGGTATGAGTGGGCAAGAAAATGACAGGGTAGGAAACCAGAAGGTAAGTAAACCCAAACTGTGCTTATAGGAATGTGATCCTGACTTATCTGCCATTCAGTTCTAGGGAATTTGATGTGGAAATTAAACATTTATCATATTTACGGCCTTTGAATCCTGAAGTATTTTAGAATTAAGCAGTTTTGTGCTCCCTCTTTCTTAAGTAATTCACCATTACATTAAATAGTTAGAATTCTTTGGTTTTTATCAAGTGCTTCAAGATAAATGCTGCACATTTGTCACCAAAACATTCTTTTTAGAGTTATAAGATGTTGAACAAATTCTTAGAATAACCATTCATTAGATATTTTCTTTCATAGTTTTAAAATTTTATATTTTAAAAAAGTGTGTTTCTTTCTGGCATATGAGCATCCTCAAGCATGGAGAAGTGTAACTGAACAAAATCAACTTCTTTTACCACCTGTACTTTTTTCACATTTAAAGGCTTTGGTTCTCTCTGTTCTTCTTACCTTATGGCTTATTTTGTTATTAGTTTTTATGAGAGTATTTTTTGCCCATAAGTTGGAAAGTATGTGGAGGCAGAAGCTCTTGAGCTGGGCATTGAAAGTTGGTCTGGTGTTTGAGTGTACAGTGATGCCTGTAGTGGAATACCACACGTGCTTAGACCAAGTAAGAAATACATTCAATATAGTGCATAAAAAGGAACAATGTGGCATGGTGAAGAAAGAGATTAAAATATAGTTGTAATGGATCTTGAATTTCACATGAGTGAATTTGGACCATTGAAAGATGTTAGACAAAAATATGATATGACTCAAATTTTGTTTCAGGATAAAACCTCATTCTAGTATAAGACAGATTGTGAAGAACAGACAGATGGGAACAGAAAGACCAGTTAGGAAAGGACATACTGGGAATAGAAGAGGCTGGAGAGCGAGTAGAGATTTCAGAGATAAAATAGGATTTGACAACTAGTTGAATGTGTGAGAGTCAAGAGAAAAGGAAGAGTCATACTGTACTTGTTTCTTGAGACTAAGAGACTTGAACTTTTAGGGAAAACTTAATAGAAGGAGGAAATACAGGGCAGATGCGTGGGGGATGGAATGAAAGTACTTTGTGTATATTCAGATTGAGGGGCAGTTGGACTCTTTAGGTGGACCTGTTCAACTGAAGTGAGAAAAGTGAGATCAGAGCTTTAGATGGAAATTTGTTCTCCTTTTATTTAGTTTCTGTCATCTGTGTAATCTTACTTTGTTTTTGTATACAATCGTACCCCCTTATCTGTGATTTTGCTTTCTGTGGTTTTTGTTACCCATGGTCTACTGCAATCTGAAAATATTAAATGGAAAATTCCAGAAAAAAACTATTCATAAGTTTTAAATTGCACACCATTCTGAGTAGCATGATGAAATCTCATGCTGTCCTGTTTGGGACATAAATCCTGTCTCACACTGTCCTACCAGGGACATAAATCATCTCTTTGTTCAGCATATTCGTGCTGTCATATTCCAATATATATTTTTTCCACATCTATTTATTTTTCATTAATGAACATCTAGGCTTCCTCCAACTCTTTGCTTCTATGGGAAAAAAATTAACTGTTGCTATGAACCTAATGTCTTGTATATTTTAATGTAAAGATTTCTTTAATATAAAGTTTTTCTGGGCTGTGTACCAGTTGTGGGATTGTTGGAACCATAGGATTCATTCTGCCTATTTGTTTTTCTAAATGGCTGCTCAAGGTTTATATTCCCATTTGCAGTGCAAGAGGATTCTTGTTTTCCCCCGTATACTTGCCAGCACTTCTTAGCCAGTGTGTAATGTTTGGCAGTCAGTTGAGTACAAATCATATGCTTATGTTAATTTAATTTGCATTTCTCTAATTGTAAATGCAATTTCATATATTCATATACTTAGCCAGTTAAGTTTCCCTCTGTATACTTTCTGTTCCTAGTCTGGCCGTTTTTAAAAATTGGGTTTTTGTGATTATCTTCATTCTGTTTTTAAGCATAGTAGATATCTTTTCACTGGCTTTTGTTTTGCCATAGTGTCCTTTGTGGAACAGAAATTTTTCAGTTTAATGTTGTTAGAACTATTTCCTTTTTCTTTATGAATTGTACTTTTAGAATCTGATTTTTAAAATCCTTTTCCATCATATACCCCAGAAATATATACACCTACTATGTACCCACAAAAATTAAAAATTAAATAATTTTCCAACCTGATATTATAAATTTATTTTGTATTTTCTTCTATTATTTTCATAGTTTTATCTTCACATTTAGATTTTTAGTTCAGTCTGGAGTTTATTTTGTGGTGTGGTATGAGGTAAAGCTCTAATTTTTTTCTCTATTTGATAAGACAGTTTTTCCAACACTATGTACAAATTATTTATGAAATAATCTAAGTTTTTTGGACTGATTTTTCATGGTATCAAGTTTTCACATTTCTGGATTATTATATACTATTGAGCTATTTGCTTCTGTACTAGTAGCAGTCTATTTTAATTACTGTAGTTTTATTACAGACATTATATCTGATAGTGTGAATGTCCAATTTATTCTTGACATCTTTTTGCTTTTTGTAAATTTTTTTTTTCTTTTTGCTATATATGAGCTTTTATTCTTTTTTTTTTTTTTTTGAGATGGAGTCTCACTTTGTCACCCAAGCTGGAGTGCAGTGGTGTGGTCTTGGCTCACTGCAACCTCCATCTCCTGGGTTCAAGCAATTCTCCTACCTCAGCCTCCCAAGTAACTGGGATTACAGGTGTCCACCACCACGCCCAGCTAATTTTTGCATTTTTAGTAGAGACAGCGTTATCACCACGTTGGTCAGGCTGGTCTCGAACTCTGGACCTCAGGAGATCTACCCACTTTGGCCTCCTAAAGTGCTGGGATTACAGGCATGAGCCACCACACCCAGCCGAGCTTTTATTCTTATATACCTTTTTTAATCTGTCAAGTTACTTCCCAAATCCTACAAGATTTTAGTTTGGAATTATCTTCAGTTTATAATTTTAAGACATTGAACATGGTTTATATATTCATTTAGTCAGGTGTTTTAATACTCTTTGTGGGAGGTGGGGGAAGACAGTCTTACTCTGCTGCCCAGGCTGGAATGCAGTGGCACAGTCTCAGCTCACTTCAACCTCCACCTCCTGGGTTCAAGCGATTCTTGTGCCTCAGCCTCCCAAGTAGCTGGGATTACAGGTGTGCACCACCACACCGGGCTAGTGTTCTTGTATTTTTAGTGGAGACAGGGTTTCACCATGTTGGTCAGGCAGGCTGGTCTCAAATACCTGGCCTCAAGTGATCCACCACCCTCAGCTCCCAAAGTGCTGGGATTACAACACTTTTAATAGAATTTTAGATCGTCCAAGTCTGGAGCATTTTTTTTTTATAAAGCTAATTAATCCTAGAGGTTTTATGGTTGTAATTTCTATTTAAATGGTATCTTCTGTTACATTATCTGATTAATTTTTACTGGCATGTAAGAATACCATTGATTTTTGTATAGTCTTGTGACTGGCCACTTGCCAAAGTTTTTTGTTCTAATAATTTACCTTTTTATTATTTTAGGTATTCTATATAATTATGATCATATAATCTGATAATAATATGTCCCATTTTAAGTCTTTATTTCTCTGTTGTCTTAGTGCACATCCAGTACTATTTTCAGCCGTGGAAGTGATAGGTAGTGCCCCACCCCCCACAAAATGCTTCTATGTTTCCCATGCCTTTTTTTTTTTTTTTTTTGCTTTTATTATAAATAGAATCGTTTAAGAGTTATGTTTTCTATGTGTTGCTAAAATGTAGAAACTTAACTGGAATTTTTGAACATTAATCTTAGAAACTTAGCTGTCCTGCTAAATTCAGTTATTCTTTCTAATAGTCTGGAGACTGTCAA